GAGTCGGAAAACTTGAGCGGGAGAACAATGACACAGTACACCAACGCTTCACACGGGATGGGAAAATTCTACTTGGGAAAACAAATGTAGGCCAACTGTACACAATCACGGACAAGAATGGTCTATCGTGATTTCTCGGGGTTGGACAATGTCCGACCTAAAAGCCTACGTGTAGTGTATGTTTTGCTCCATTATTGTACAAATTTCACAGTACAATCTCTTAGTAATAATAAAAAAATCAACTACCTCGGTAATGTGATTTTACTAGTAAGCATAAGTCACCTTGTGTTATATAATTTTCTTAATTACTACTATTGACTGCTTAAATATTTGCTTCATTAATACTTTCTTGTCCATATTACAACCTCATAGTATTTCTTTAAATACTATTAATTGCTATTACTTACCAAATTTATTATCAAATACATTTTTGACATTATTTTAATTACTATTACTTGTTTAATTACCATAACCTGTTTTAATACCACATTTACTATCTTAGAGTAGTTCGTTACTCAAATACCTTGTACTGCCAATTAAGCTCTAGTATAACTACCAGTGCAATACTGAATCCAAATAACTATTCTTAAAATTTAGTACAGTACCTCCATCTCCCCATCTACTAACTCCCCTACTCTGTTTTTAACTGACAAATCCGTACGTTCCCTAGGCTTTCTTAACTTAAGTCACTCCAAATTTTTTTCTTATTTTCATTAAAATTTCTTGACAGTACCTTTCCCACTCTATCATCTGCTCTCTTTTTGCACTCTCTCACCACTCTCCTCACCTTTCTTTTACTCTCCATATACTCTGCTCTTCTTATAACACTTCTGCTTTGTAAAAACCTCTCATAAGCTACCTTTTTCTCTTTTATCACACCCTTTACTTCATCATTCCACCAATCACTCCTCTTTCCTCCTGCCCCCACCCTCCTATAACCACAAACTTCTACCCCACATTCTAATACTGCATTTTTAAAACTATTCCAACCCTCTTCAACCCCCCCGTTACTCATCTTTGCACTAGCCCACCTTTCTGCCAATAGTCGCTTATATCTCACCCGAACTTCCTCCTCCCTTAGTTTATACACTTTCACCTCCCTCTTACTTGTTGTTGCCACCTTCCTCTTTTCCCATCTACCTCTTACTTTAACTGTAGCTACAACTAAATAATGATCCAATATATCAGTTGCCCCTCTATAAACATGTACATCCTGGAGCCTACCCATCAACCTTTTATCCACCAATACATAATCTAACAAACTACTTTCATTACGTGCTACATCATACCAAGAATATTGTCCTAACTAAACCTAATGAAGCACCACTGCATCCCACTGACACAGCTAACAAGATAAATGACTTCTTCTCAACAATAGGATCTAATCTTGCCAATAAAATCCCACGTACCAATGCCCATGACGGGGACTACCTAGATGGAAATTTCCCAAATTCCTTCTATTTGCACCAACTGAGCCCACGGAAGTCACGAGATTATAAAGTCACTTAAAAATAACTCAGGGAATCTGTCCCATGTCCCACCATTATTGTACAAGCGAGCGGCCCATGTCCTCTCGCATGCTATCTCATTACCTTTTAACAAGTCACTAGAAACTAGCACCTTCCCGAAACTACTCAAGACGGCAAGGGTTACATCAATACATAAAGGTGGTGACCCTACAGATTTAAACAACTATAGGCCAATATCAAACTTACCATTGCTATCCAAAATCTTTGAGAAACTCGTGCACAGGAGACTATATTCATTCATAACGGCACAAAACATACTCAACCCCTGCCAATTTGGATTCAGGAAAAATAAAAGCACTAACGATGCAATCGTAAAAATGCTAGATCCGCTTTACACAGCACTGGAAAATAAGGAATATCCACTAGGAATTTTTATTGACCTAAGAAAAGCTTTTGACACAGTAGACCACGGCATCCTACTCCACAAACTTGACCATTATGGTATAAGAGGCCATGCACTTGCATATTTCAAATCTTACCTTACTAATAGGTATCAGTATGTCACCATTAAAGACACAGCATCAACAACACGGCCACTTGATACTGGAGTTCCACAGGGAAGTGTCCTTGGTCCCCTGCTCTTCCTCATATACATCAATGATCTTCCAAATGTATCTCAACACCTGAACCCCATTCTCTTTGCAGATGACACGACTTATGTCATCTCTCACCCTAATCTTGCCACCCTCAACACCATTGTTAACGAGGAGCTGATCAAAATATCGACTTGGATGACAGCCAATAAACTTACGCTTAACACTGACAAAACCTACTATGTACATTATGTTTGGTAGCAGAGCAGGAGATGCGCAAATTAACATTAAGATCGACAACACTCTAATTGCCAGACATAATGAGGGCAAATTCCTAGGCATATACCTCGACAACAACCTGAATTTCAGCACCCATAACCCCTCAAGGAAGGTTCCTTGATGTTGGTGAGGGGCTCTTGATTTAGGGAATTGGATCTGTGCTCCAGTTCCCCGAATTAAGCCCGAATGCCTTCCACATCCCCCCCCCAGGTGCTGTATAATCCTCCGGGTTTAGCGCTTCCCCTTTGATTATAATAATAATAATAATAATAATCAGCACCCATATCCAACACATAACCAAAAAAGTATCCAAAACGGTTGGGATCCTCTCCAAGATACGATACTACGTGCCGCAAACTGCCCTTCTCACACTATACCATTCACTTATATATCCATACCTCACCTATGCTATCTGTGCTTGGGGTTCAACTGCAGCAACACACCTAAAGACAATAATAACCCAACAAAAAGCCACAGTAAGAATAATCACTAAATCCCATCCCTGGCAACACACCCCCCCCACTCTTCATAGATCTAAACTTACTCCCTGTTCAGTACATCCACACTTACTACTGTGCAATCTACATCTACAGGACCTTAAATTCCAATATCAACCTTGACCTAAAATGGTTTCTTGATAGTTGTGACAGAACCCACAGGCATAACACCAGACACAAACATCTCTATGACATTCCCCGTGTCCGACTAAACCTTTACAAAAATTCAATGTATGTCAGAGGCCCTAAAATCTGGAACACCCTACCTGAGAACTCTAGAACTGCAGACACATTCATCACTATCAAAACTACCATTAGAAAACATCTTATCTCCCTGATACACCCTGTCAACTAATTACACAAATACCACCTGGTGGTTCACACTTACACTCACTCACCCATTTGACCATAAACAGAAATATCAATCTCAATCTTAAAATAATGAATCTTAAGTAGTCATATGTTGGCCTGTGATACTCCAATACTGAAACTATGTATAGTGCCAAAACAAAAGCATTCACATTGCTAAACTCACAAACTAGTATTTATAAGTCACTTAGCCATAATACCAACTTACCTCATAATTTGTAATATTTTAAATTAGAATTCAATTCAATTCAATTCAAACTTTATTCTCTATAAGTATTACAATGCTGAGTTTACAGAATTTGGTTATTGTGTGGTTTACATGTAGTAAAATAATAATTACAGAGTGTACCACTAGAACACCTAGCATGGCTAGGCATTTCGGGCAGACTTATATTAAATCTTAGGTTTAAAATGTTACAGAATTATGAGATAAGTTGGTATTATGGCTAAGTGACTAAATACTAGTTGTGAGTTTAGCAATGTGAATGCTTTTGTTTTGGCACTAATCTAAGTCTGCCCGAAATGCCTAGCCATGCTAGGTGTTCTAGTGGTACACTCTGTAATTATTATTTTACTACATGTAAACCACACAATAACCAAATTCTGTAAACTCAGCATTGTAATCCTTATAGAGAATAAACTTTGAATTTGAATTTGTATATTTATTTATCCTCTTTTTCATAAAATATGTATTACTTATTACCAAATCTCTTTCTACACATAGCTCAATTAAAGACTCCCCATTTACAGAGTGAACTGTTATCTAAAATAAGAATTAAAATAAGTATATCATGTCTATCAGTGTTGCCAACAATCCTGCCATCCAAAAGGGTTACAGGTAGTTAATAATGGAAGGTTTTAATCTATGTGATCATAGTAAAACAAAGAAATTGATTTGCAATATGTGATGCTCATTTTGGAACTGTTTGGTAACCATTATTTTTCACATTATATATTTTAGGATAGTCTAATAAGCCACAGAATTGGTGAGGTTTGAACTCCATCAGTTCCATGGTTTGTTTGCAATTGCGTTATTACGATTTTGTGAGTTCTACCTGGAGTATACCTAGAGAGGGTTTCGGGGATGAAACCCTCGATTTAGTGAACTTTGGAAATCTGGAACATGTGCAAAGTCAAGATTTGTTTTTGCCATAATGATAATAATGGAAAATTCTGAAACCAACAAGCATAATTTGTCTCGTGCACAACTACCATCACCTGCCTCCTGCTCTTCCCCATCAACCTCTAAATTCAGTGTTCAGTGTGTCAAAATTTAATCGGTCTTTAAAAAAATTATAAAATATGTACTTCACATACTATAGTGTACATTTTCTTTCAAATACTATACAGTGGACCCCCGGATAACGATATTTTTTCATTCCAGAAGTATGTTCAGGTGCCAGTACTGACCGAATTTGTTCCCATAAGGAATATTGTGAAGTAGATTAGTCCATTTCAGACCCCCAAACATACACGTACAAACACACTTACATAAATACATTTACATAATTGGTCGCATTGGGAGGTGATCGTTAAGTGGGGGTCCACTGTATAGGCAATACCATACTAGTATTATTGTATATAGTAGTTTTCAACCCTTAAACTGTCCAAACGTAGATCTACGTTCATGTGCATAGCGCTCCGACCATGATTTTCTCCATTTGAAAGTATGTAAAAAAAAATGTAGATCTACGTTTGGAGCCTCCTGCATGTGGACGTAGATCTTATGTTTGGACAGTTTAAAGGTTAAATTATTGTACTATGCAAACTTAGGAAATGCCAAACACAATATGTATACATACGTATATAGGAAAGCTTTAATATATTATTATTATAATCAAAAAGAAGCGCTAAGCCACAAGGGCTAGCTTTAATATAATGCATAATATAATGCATAAGCAAATTGTGTTGCAACATAGCCATCATTAGTTTTAAAATATCTTCCATGTATGGTTTTTTAATGGGGCTCTTGAGCCAAGGAATTGGAGCTATGACCTCCTTCCTCAGATCAAAGCTGATTTACTGCTATTCCTCAAGAAGTGTGTGGCCTCTTACTGGTTGAGAACTTACCATGATTGTAACACACAGTATAACCCATTATATTACTAAAATTAACAGATCCATATATAAATATACACCTACCATCCGACTTACGACTTGCTCGACTTACGACCACTCGACTTACGACCGTGTTTTTTATGCCAAATTTCTGGGAAATAAACAACTATTTGTGTTGTACACAGTGTTTATCCTAAACCTTACAGTATAAAATACAGTACTAACAGCATAAAAAGTAAAGTAAAACATGAAATACCAAAAGAAAACATTAAAATAAAGACATTACAAAAATGTTTCGTTGATATTCAGTAGTAAAGTTCGACTTACGACCGGTTTCTCGGAACCGAACTCGGTCGTAAGTCGGATGGTAGGTGTATACGTATACGTATACAGTACTTAATAAACTTATCACATCAATATTTCACTATTATATAAGCAGCAAAGTACAAAAGTTTGTCATATTCTGAACATTATTTAAAGTGAAGAATATTTCTAAAAGTCCCATAAAGAATATAACACAATACTGTAAGCACAATAAATTAACTCAAAACTGAAGCTGAAACATTAAATGTTTTAGTCAAGAGACCATTCTCAAACTGACTCTATAGATGTTACAATGTGTAAGGGATACCGGGAGAGTTTCATCAAAGGAACTGGAACAAGCCTTCCCTCTTTATCTGGATCAAATGTGATTGTCTCTCATTCCCCTATGAGAGGGTCGAGCTTCTCCATGAATATATGATAAAGGTTGAGGACAAAACAATGTTTACGGCTTCATCTCTAATCTGTAAATCAGCTGAAGCAGCCCCATCACTCACCAGTGTATATCTATATGTATATATGTATGAAAATAAACCCTGCTACCAAAATAAATATATCTTCAAAACTATCTCAAGCTCAATGTTTATCCTTCAGTTTACATCACAGAACGCTGGTTCCGAAGGGGCTGTGGAAGACGCATTCGACTGGCTAAATCATTGAAAATTGCAGGTGTGTACTGTGATCCCTTTAATGCCCCACCAATTTCATTAATCAGGTCTGCAACATCTGGACAAACATCTTGACTTGCTATTTTTACATCCTCAACCTTGCCATGGTAAACCTGAAAGTGACACACCAATTACCATATTATTGATATACAATACTAACAAGTTAATAAGGCAGAAGCATCATTTGGATATTTTTATTACTAAATATCCAAATGATGCTTCTGCTTTTTCAGTTGAATGCAGGCTACTATAACACTGTAGACAGTAAAAGTGACATGAACCGTTCTTCAGCTTTGACATGTGGTAATCTGTCCTGCAGGCTACAGAACTCGCCACCAAGTACATCAAGGATGAGGGACTGGTCACCTCAATTACTTCTACTGTCTCCAGTCTCTTCTACTGTCATCTATGTTCAACTGGAAGGGCCTGCCTCATAGCTGAAATATTTCAGCAATAAAGATGTTAGATAAAAGGACACATATGCAACTAATGCAAGAACCTCCTCAAAACAAACCCCTCCATCACACAGCTGCTGCTGCTGCTACTACTACTACAACTACTACTACCACCACCACAAGTACTACTATTACTACTAGTATTATTACTACTACTAGCTACAAGTATTATGCCTTGCACCTCACTAATACCTAAATCAATACCCTCCATTCACTCACACCACTGAGCAACCTACATTTACGTAACAATCAATTCTAATATAAATCCCAGTCTGAAGTACTTTGACAGTTGCAGTAGGACCCAGACACATAATACTAGGCACAAAAATTTCTATGACATTCCCTGTGTCAGGCTAAATCTTTTCAAAAACTCAGTGTACATACAAGGACCCAAAATCTGGAAAAAACTGCCAGAAATCTCCAGAACCACTGACTCTGCTAGCATTTTTAAAACTGCAGTTAAAAAACACGTTATCTCCTTAACCTATCCCAGTCGTCATAAATACATATGTAACAACTACAGTGGACCCCCGGTTTGCGATATTATTTCATTCCAGAAGTATGTTCAGGTGCCAGTACTGAACGAATTTGTTCCCATAAGGAATTTTGTGAATTAGATAAGTCCATTTCAGACCCCCAAACATACACGTACAAACGCACTTATATAAATACACTTACATAATTGGTCGCATTGGGAGCTGATCATAAAGCGGGGGTCCACTGTATACATGCATTTGCTCAATATCATGATCATAACAAATTCTCACTACAGGCAGCACACTCCACCAATATTCAATACACTAAACCTACTCACCATACAAAACATCCATACTTATTACTGCACCTATTACATACATAGAACACTTAACTCTGATATTAACCCTCCCCTCAAACATCTCCTTGCCAACCTCAACAGAACACATGACCATAACACAAGGCACAGATCACTCTTTGATTCCTCGTGTCCATCTCACGCTATGCAAAAACTCAATGCACATAAAAGGCCCTAAAATCTGGAATTCATTACCTGTAAATATAAAAGAAACACAACCTGTTTATAAATTCAAGTCTCTTCTTAAAGATTACTTACTCACCCAAAACCAAATAAATATGAATAACTGAACATTATAAATTGTATATCTTAAATGTTTCTCACAATTATATCACATAAATGTTAAACCTAAAACCCAATCTAACTTTATTATTTTTTAAATACACTTCCTAACAGAATCACTACCTAACTGAATGCAACCATATGACCTGTCTTTGTAATACTCACTTGTGCTTTATAGTTATCTGTTTACATTAATGTTTTATCACTGATTTCATCATTGCTTAGTAGCAGCGCTGTATAGTCCTTGTGGCTTAGCGCTTCTTTTTGATTATAATAATAATAATAATCATTGCTTAGTTAATCTTAAGTTAATTTTAAGCCAGCCCGTAATGCTATGCATAGTATAAGTGGCTTTGGCATACTGCTCTTATCTGTATTTTTTTGTACCTCTGTATGTGTGCACAAATTGGAAATTGGAAATAGGTAAAACATTATAATCAATATGTGTATACTTACTCTAATATCTGTAATCTTCTCAAATGTTAATCATTTAATGTGTCCAATGTAATTTCTCTCTACCAAACTTATTAAAGCCATATAGCATGAATTTATAGAATATTCAATTCTCTTGTATTCATTGTAAACTCATCTAATGACCATATGTACAAAATTACCACACTGTTATTGCCTTATTAATCTTAAGTTAGTCTTAAGTTTGCCCGAAATGCTCTGCATATAAAGGGGCTTTTGGAATGTATACCCAATTTTTATACTCCTTTGTACAAACATGTATCATGCTGAAATAAATTTATTATTATTATTTTTATTGTTATAGGTAGTAGGTTGGTAGAGAGCAACCACCCAGGGAGGTACTACCGTCCTGCCAAGTGAGTGTAAAACAAAAGCCTGTAATTGTTTTACATGATGGTAGGATTGCTGGTGTCTTTTGTCTGTCTCATAAACATGCAAGATTTCAGGTACGTCTTGCTACTTCTACTTACACTTAGGTCACACTACACATACATGTACAAGCATATATATACACACACCCCTCTGGGCTTTCTTCTATTTTCTTTCTAATTCTTATTTTTTTTTATTATCACACTGGCCGATTCCCACCAAGGCAGGGTGGCCCGAAAAAGAAAAACTTTCACCATCATTCACTCCATCACTGTCTTGCTAGAAGGGTGCTTTACACTACAGTTTTTAAACTACAACATTAACACCCCTCCTTCAGAGTGCCAGCACTGTACTTCCCATCTCCAGGACTCAAGTCCGGCCTGCCGGTTTCCCTGAACCCCTTCATAAATGTTACTTTGCTCACACTCCAACAGCACATCAAGTATTAAAAACTATTTGTCTCCATTCACTCCTATCAAACACACTCACGCATGCCTGCTGGAAGTCCAAGCCCCTCGCACACAAAACCTCCTTTACCCCCTCCCTCCAACCTTTCCTAGGCCGACCCATACCCCGCCTTCCTTCCACTATAGACTGATACACTCTTGAAGTCTTTCTGTTTCGCTCCATTCTCTCTACATGTCCGAACGACCTCAACAACCCTTCCTCAGCCCTCTGGACAACAGTTTTGGTAATCCCGCACCTCCTCCTAACTTCCAAACAAAACGAATTCCCTGCATTATATTCACACCACACTTTTGCCCTCAGACATGACATCTCCACTGCCTCCAGCCTTCTCCTCACTGCAACATTCATCACCCATGCTTCACACCCGTATAAGAGCGTTGGTAAAACTATACTCTCATACATTCCCCTCTTTGCCTCCAAGGACAAAGTTCTTTGTCTCCACAGACTCCTAAGTGCACCACTCACCCCTTTTCCCCTCATCAATTCTATGATTCACCTCATCTTTCATAGACCCATCCGCTGACACATCCACTCCCAAATATCTGAATACATACATTCACCTCCTCCATACTCTCTCCTTCCAATCTGATATCCAATCTTTCATCACCTAATCTTTTTGTTATCCTCATAACCTTACTCTTTCCTGTATTCACTTTTAATTTTCTTCTTACCTCCATGAGGAAGTGAAACAGAATTCTTCCTCCGTAAGCCATGCGTGTTGTAAGAGGCAACTAAAATGCCGGGAGCAAGGAGCTAGTAACCCCTTCTCCTGTATATATTACTGAATGTAAAAGGAGAAACTTTCGTTTGGGCGACCCCGCCTCGGTGGGATACGGCCAGTGTGTTGAAAGAAAGAAAGATTTTTATTGTTTGTAATGGCTTGACAAAGCTCCTGGAGAGTGAAAAGTTGCACCTGTGTCCTTTTATCTAGCACTTTCATAATTCACTCCATCACTGTCTTGCCAGAGGTGTGCTTATACTACAGTTGAAAAAAAAATCTGCATCATATCAGCACTCCTCCTTCAGAGTGCAGACACTGTACCTCCCACCTCCAGGACTGAAGTCTGGCTCACAGGTTTCTCTGAATCCCTTCATGTTACCAGGCTCACACTCCACTCCAACAGCACATCAAGTCATAAAAACCATTCGTCTCCACTTGCTCCTATCTAACATGCCCACTCATGCTTGATGAAGTCCCAGCCTCTTGTACACAAAACTTCCTTTACTCCCTTCCTCCAACCTTTCCTAGGACAACCCATACCCAGCCTTCCACTACAGACTTATACACCCTCCAAGTCATTCTATTTTGTTCCATCCTCTCTAATGTCCAAATCACCTCAACAACTCTTCCTCAGCCCTCTGGATAATACTTTTAGAAACCCCGCACCTCCTTCTAATCTCCAAGTTACAGATTCTCTGCATTATATTCACACTGCACATTACCCTCAGACATGACATTTCCACTGCCTCTAGCCTTCTTGTTGCAACACTCCACCCATGCTTCACACCCATATCAGTGTTGGTACCACTATATCTGATACATTCTTCACTTTGCTTCATGGATAACGTTCTTCGTCTCCATAGACTCATCAGTCTGTCGAGACGAAGTACTTGGGAGTACTTGTGCAGTACTTGGGAATCCACAGACTGAGGAGTCTGTGGATTCCCAAGTACTGCACACGAGTTACCAGTATTAATATGGTATTTTGATTTAACATACTGTTTACCCATTGGGTTTCCATACATTAATGGTAAACTAATACTATGAATAAAATATGCACTGCACTCTGTGTATACTTGCCTATATATGTGTGTGTGTGTATTTGCATATATGTATGTATGTATGTTTGTGTGTAGGTGTATACACATATTTGACAATTGCAACCACAGTTAGGTGAGTATAGGCAAGTACACAGACAGTATAGTATTTTTTTTTTTTAACACATCTGCCATCTCCCGCCGAGACAGGGAGACCCAAAAAAGAAAAGCACTTTCACCATCATTCACACACAGTCACAGTAAAATATAATTATATGAAAAACAATTCTATATTCTTTTTTGATAACAAAATATTTTGTCCAAAATTCTATGTATAACTAAAGGGATTCTCCACTTCGAGCTAAATGCCATGACAATAATGAAAGGCTCTTGATTCAGGAAATTGCAGCTACCTGCCACTCCTTGAATCAAACCTCTCATTTCAAGCCACTGTATGACTTATCAAGTTAAGAATTTCTCAATGAATGTAAAGACCAGAGGCCTAGCTTCTCCCTACAAGCCCTGTGAAGGCAGGGAATGTGGCTAGGCCTGGGGACACTTGGTCCCAAACATGAGGGGGTACTTGTACCTCCTCCCATGGGAGACTTACATCTCGAGACACTCCCCGGATAGGGAGCCAAGGCCGGGTCACCACTACTTGGAAAAGACCCGAGCCGGGAGAATACCGGCGAATAAGAAAAAAAAATGAATGTAGAGATAAACTGCAGTAAACTGCAAAACTGAATACAGTACTACAGTATGTAAATCTTAGTTCTTTCTTTCTTAATGTATTTTAACAATTTACCTGCACTGCAATGTTGACTGTAGTATTATGGGCCACACACTCAGGAACTGTAACTGGACGAGTAATAGTGAAGCGAGGCGTTTTATTATGCAACCACGAATATGAAGACAACTCAGCCTCCACTTTAGCCAGTCCTAAGAAAGGAGGGAATGCAATAATTTAGCCATCCTATTGCTTATTAGTTAAAATATTTGTCAGTCACTATACCTCATGGCCGTGACCCTTAGAGGAAGAGGGAGGTGTCTCGACTCTCAGGAATGAGCTCTAAGGTATTGGTCCTATCTTTTGCTTCCTTGGATCAAACCTGATTACCTCCCATTCCCCAGGCATAAGAGCTGTATGACCCTTCGACTTTAGTGCCTACCTTGATTATTTTTTTTATTATTTTTATTATCACACTGGCCGATTCCCACCAAGGCAGGGTGGCCCGAAAAAGAAAAACTTTCACCATCATTCACTCCATCACTGTCTTGCCAGAAGGGTGCTTTACACTACAGTTTTTAAACTGCAACATTAACACCCCTCCTTCAGAGTGCAGGCACTGTACTTCCCATCTCCAGGACTCAAGTCCGGCCTGCCGGTTTCCCTGAATCCCTTCATAAATGTTACTTTGCTCACACTCCAACAGCACGTCAAGTATTAAAAACCATTTGTCTCCATTCACTCCTATCAAACACGCTCACGCATGCCTGCTGGAAGTCCAAGCCCCTCGCACACAAAACCTCCTTTACCCCCTCCCTCCAACCTTTCCTAGGCCGACCCCTACCCCGCCTTCCTTCCACTACAGACTGATACATTCTTGAAGTCATTCTGTTTTGCTCCATTCCCTCTACATGTCCGAACCACCTCAACAACCCTTCCTCAGCCCTCTGGACAACAGTTTTGGTAATCCCGCACCTCCTCCTAACTTCCAAACTACGAATTCTCTGCATTATATTCACACCACACATTGCCCTCAGACATGACATCTCCACTGCCTCCAGCCTTCTCCTCGCTGCAACATGCTTCACACCCATATAAGAGCGTTGGTAAAACTATACTCTCATACATTCCCCTCTTTGCCTCCAAGGACAAAGTTCTCTGTCTCCACAGACTCCTAAGTGCACCACTCACTCTTTTTCCCTCATCAATTCTATGATTCACCTCATCTTTCATAGACCCATCCGCTGAAACGTCCACTCCCAAATATCTGAATACGTTCACCTCCTCCATACTCTCTCCCTCCAATCTGATATCCAATCTTTCATCACCTAATCTTTTTGTTATCCTCATAACCTTACCTTGATTATATTATTGTTAAATCTCAGAATTGTGTTTCTGGGCATACTCAGCTCCTGGCCCTTCTGGAACTTCAAAACTTGGTTGGCATGTACTAGCTCCTAACCTCCTCTGGGCCCTCTCTCTATGAATATAATAGCCTTGTGGCTTTGAAGGGAATAGAAAGATAAATTCCATATGGCATGTATCTGTTGTTCAGGTAAGTTGAATGAAGATGTGGATAAAGTTCTGTATTTATGTTTTGGATACGCATAATACGCGTAATATCCTCGTAAAAACTCTTCACTGCTTTCAGTAACCTACCTCCTACACCATACACCTGCAACATCTGCCACATTGCCCCCCTATCCACCCTGTCATACGCCTTTTCCAAATCCATAAATGCCACAAAGACCACTTTAGCCTTATCTAAATACTGTTCACTTATATGAAACATATAACATATATGAAACATATAAGTGAACAGTATTTAGATAAGGCAAAAGAGGTGTTTGTGGCATTTATGGATTTGGAAAAGGCGTATGACAGGGTGGATTGGGGGGCAATGTGGCAGATGTTGCAGGTGTATGGTGTAGGAGGTAGGTTACTGAAAGCAGTGAAGAGTTTTTACGAGGATAGTGAGGCTCAAGTTAGAGTATGTAGGAAAGAGGGAAATTATTTCCCAGTAAAAGTAGGCCTTAGACAAGGATGTGTGATGTCACCATGGTTGTTTAATATATTTATAGATGGGGTTGTAAGAGAAGTAAATGCGAGGGTCTTGGCAAGAGGCGTGGAGTTAAAAGATAAAGAATCAAACATAAAGTGGGAGTTGCCACAGTTGCTCTTTGCTGATGACACTGTGCTCTTGGGAGATTCTGAAGAGAAGTTGCAGAGATTGGTGGATGAATTTGGTAGGATGTGCAAAAGAAGAAAATTAAAAGTGAATACAGGAAAGAGTAAGGTTATGAGGTTAACAAAAAGATTAGGTGATGAAAGATTGGATATCAGATTGGAGGGAGAGAGTATGGAGGAGGTGAACGTATTCAGATATTTGGGAGTTGACGTGTCAGCGGATGGGTCTATGAAAGATGAGGTGAATCATAGAATTGATGAAGGGAAAAGGGTGAGTGGTGCACTTAGGAGTCTGTGGAGACAAAAGAACTTTGTCCTTGGAGGTAAAGAGGGGAATGTATAAGAGTATAGTTTTACCAACGCTCTTATATGGGTGTGAAGCATGTTGCAGCGAGGAGAAGGCAGGAGGCAGTGGAGATGCCATGTCTGAGAGCAATGTGTGGTGTGAATATAATGCAGAGAATTTATAGTTTGGAAGTTAGGAGGGTGCGGGATTACCAAAACTGTTGTCCAGAGGGCTGAGGAAGTCTTGTTGAGGGGGTTTTCGGACTTGTAGAGAGAATGGAGCGAAACAGAGTGACTTCAAGAGTGTATCAGTCTGTAGTGGAAGGAAGGCGGGTGGAGGGGTTCGGCCTAGGAAAGGTTGGTAGGAGGGGAATAAAGGAGGTTTTGTGTGCGAGGGTGGATGGACTTCCAGCAGCATCGTGAGCGGTTGTGTGATAGGAGTGAATGGTGACAAATGGTTTTTATATTTGACATGCTGTTGGGTGTGAGCAAAGTAACATATGAAGGGGTTCAGGGAAACGGCAGGCCGGGACTAGAGCCTGGAGGGGAAGTACAGTGCCTGCATCTGAAGGGGGGTGTTAAGTTGCAGTTTAAAACTGTATGTAAAGCCCCTTCTGGAAAGGGGACAGTGATGGAGTGAATGTGGTGAAGTTTTTTCTTTTTTGGGGCCACCCTGCCTTGGGGGGAATCGGCCAGTGTGATAATAAAAAAAAATTCTATGTTTCATTGTAAACAACTTGGTCCACAAAACCCCCTACCTTTCCAAAACCTCCTTGTTCATCTGCTATCCTATTCTTACCCATATAATACTTTATCTGCTCTCCTGTACTTCCTCACCATATAAATGCACAAATACCAAGAACCATTCTCAAAACTTTTTAGATTAAAACTAAATTGCTTTGGTTATTGGCATGACACTGACATGCAGTGCATACCTTTATTAACAATGAATGCCCATACAATGGGCTTTATCTAATCTTGATAAAGCTACTGCGTGGGCAAGGCCTTCTCATAATAAATATATGCACTGCATTCCAACTGTCAGTTTGTCTAAACTGTTAAAATTACAAATTCAGATATCCATAAGTATTTAGAAATCTATATTCCAGCTAAAGATAATAATTCCTTAATTACAGAAGGGATTACCTGGGAACCAATCATCAGTGGGATTTATCAATGTGGGAGCGCATTGGAAAGTTTTATACATCTGCTTGTGAGGAAGCGTCTATTCCTTTTGTGGAAGATTCTAGGTATTTGCGACCAATTGCTGAAATGAGCTTTTTTTACCCAGATGCTTTATTGGCATCATGCAGATTCTTACCAGTGCTGGGATACTAGCTGTTGCTTTGCTCTGGATATTCTGTCCAAATGAAGATAAAAATATTTAATATATGTATATTCATAACCCACACAGAGGAGAAAGAAACTTATGATGATGTTTCGGTCCGACTTAACTAGTCACGCACTGTGTAACTCATTAATGGTTCAAATCAGCCCGAAACGCTATCAAAAGTTTCTTGCTCCTATGTGCGGGGTTATATGTGCATAATATAAGTTAACACTAGTTGCTCGTCTGACAGATGTCAAAAATTCAATGATCATAAGCTAACCGATATAGAACAAGAGTATAATAAATTATCGGAACACTAATTAAAAAATATTCAAAAGGTAGATTAAGAAGCCAAGGATTCATTATAAACATTTAGCAGTAACTACCTTATCTCCCTGGAGAGCCAGCTTCATCTGTTGTTTGTTTGTTCTAACCAGCAAGGTACAGTGATGATAAGCTGACTGACGGCCCAACTTTGCTGCTGTCCCAGACACCTGAAAGAATAAAATTCTATAAGTGTAATATGTATAAGTGTAAGTGCTAAGATATTACTCTACTGTACTCTTTACACTTCCAACTTCTGTAAAGTGAACCACAGAACAGGTGGGGTTTGAACCATGGCGAGTCCCAGTGGTGGCTCGTCCATAGGAGCTGCAGAGCTGCAGTCCCCCCAGATGCTCAATGCCAGATGTATGACTTCATCAACCTTATGCTAAAATAACTTGCAACTGACAAATATATTACATGAAAAATCTGTTGTATGTTGTTTTCAATGTATTTATAAGCGAATTTTTTTTTTTTTTTTGGTTGAACAAGATAAAAAAGATTAAAAGTAGAAGTTTGATGTGGTACGATAGTATAAGTATTGCTGGCATTACATCTGGCAGCGAAGAGCTGCATTTGATAGAGCACACTACTTTAATAACGTTTATTATGCTGTTGTATGAGACTTGCAGTCATGCAGTCCCCCATTCTATTTTTTGACGAGCCACCACTGGCGAGTCCTAAAACTCACATCCCAGTGCTTTAACCGCTGGGCCAGCTGGCCCGGATTTGTTTGTAAATGTGTTATTAAGATTTAAGCAAGTCATTCTATTTAAGTAACTGGTAAACCAAGAATGTTTTGAGTAATCATGGTCACATGTCTTCAACAATTACAATATGTTTCTTACAACTGTGTATTCTACAACCTCACTGTAGAATCTGTTCCCCTGTATGGAGATACTAGTCTTGTCAAATTATTTATGAACTGTCTGTTAATATCTGTAAGGTAAATCCACCCCTTCAGGAGGGGCATTACTATAATATTGGTGAAAGATTTTTGATCCAAGGAAGCCCTTCTGTGATTAAACCTGTTTACTTACCTACAATTCTTCAGGTGATGTATGACCCCTACGTGTTTAGTGCTTCCCCATGTATATATAGTATAAAATAGTACAATACATAACTTTCCAGGTAATCTACAATTGTACACTAGTGTTCCACCAAACACTGTCCTACACTCACACCTGTCACTAATTTAAACCTATACGTGTGACTTGAGTCCTGGAAATGGGAAGTACAACGCCTGCACTTTAAAGGAGGGGTTTGGGATATTGGCAGTTTGGAGGGATATGTTGTGTATCTTTATATGTATATGCTTCTAAACTGTTGTATTCTGAGCACCTCTGCAAAAACAGTGATAATGTGTGAGTGTGGTGAAAGTGTTGAATGATGATGAAAGTATTTTCTTCTTGGGGATTTTCTTTCTTTTTTGGGTCACCCTGCCTCGGTGGGAGACGGCCGACTTGTTGAAAAAAAAAAAAAAAAAAAAAAGTGTGACTACTATTGTATGTACGTACTATACCCTGAGAGTATACTAACAAACATCTATATTCCAGCACTATTACACATGCACCTGTGACCCAGTGTTACACCCTCATCTGTGACCCCTCTCTCACACTCGACTAAGTGATTTTGGCACTGTCCTACACCCATGACTGACTTCCAACTATACCCTGTGATCCTGGCACAGTTCTACACCCATGACTGACTTCCAACTATACTCTGTGATCCTGGCACTGTCCTACACCCATGACTGACTTCCAACTATACTCTGTGATCCTGGCACAATCCTACACCTGACTGACTTCCAACTATACCCTGTGATCCTAGCACTGTCCTACACTCATAACTGACTTCTAACTATACCCTACAGTACAACCTAATATGATAGCTTTTGATAAACCACATCACTCAACAAGCTGCTACATATGTACCTTGAAGTCCTGACCAATGATGATATCATCTCTGTGGTTGATGTGGGCTTGAATGCCGAAATCCTCCTGAAGTGCCTGACAGATAACCTCGAGATTTTCCTTTCTGTTGTACCTGTTGAGAAAAACACAGGTAACTAGAGGTTTGAATATGCAGGTAGTCAAAGACATATACCAACTAGATGCATTTCAGTCACTGTGTGACCCGATAGTGTTAGTTTTAATATCCATTTTGTACCCTATAGCCATCCTGTGAGCAGTAGTCAAAATATTATAGAGGCATATAATGGGTCCTGGGACTGGGCCACAAACTTTTGATAGTTAAACAAGTTAGACATAATGAACTATTTACATGTCTGAGAAAGGTATCCCTGTATTGCATAACCTATCCCCTGTAATGCAATACATGCAAAAGGAAAAGTGCAGAGTCCTGCACAAGTTTCTAATACGTATGTTCAGTTCATTAATCTTGAAAAACAAGATTGATGGACTGAGCACACTGACTCCAGGCTGAAAGACTGATTCCCTCAAAATTACTTGCCACTGTTTCAATACATTGGACTGAAGACACTGGCTGGCAAAATGTTTCCAGAATAAAGATACCTAAATGTTCCCCAAGTGTCTCATTTACTGGAAGACAAGAAAACTGTACCTACAAGTAATAACTCCTGCCTCAACATTCACCAAAAGTTTTAGCATCTTTTTAACACTAAGAAACACCGGTCATACTTGATCTCAAAATCAGTTCATTTAGTTAGTCGACACAAAATGTGAATACAATCTGAAAATTTCAGATATCATTAATGATGAAATCTTTTGCCATATCCTGATGGGTTTGCATGAAGGTGTTTCTGAAAAGCTGGATATTTGGACACTAGATAAGTTCCAGTGTATGGCCCTGTCTCTGTTCACACACTGCATTTGAAGTCACTGGCATCAATCTACAAACCAGGCCCGGTGGCCTGATGGCTAAAGCTCCCGCTTCACACACAGAGTGCCCGGGTTTGATTCCCGGCGGGTGGAAACATTTCGACGTGTTTCCTTACACCTGTTGTCCTGTTCACCTACATATTGATATATGTACCTATATATATTTGTACATGACGTTTTAAATAAAATATATAAAACAAAAAAAAGCAGCAAATAGGTACCTGGGTGTTAGTCGACTGGTGTGGGTCGCATCCTGGGGGACAAGATTGAGGACCCCAATGGAAATAAGTTAGACAATCCTCGATGACGCACTGACTTTCTTGGGTTATCCTGGGTGGCTAACCCTCCGGGGTTAAAAATCCGAACGAAATCTAATCTTATCTTACCACCAGAGATACCTATAACCTAGCCATCATAATATCTTGCAGTCTACTGACCTTGTTACTTTCTCTATAAATATGTTCAACATCATTATCTTTTAATATGATAGAGAACTGATCTGCTGATTCCTACCTGTACTGTGTTATTTCTAACTAGTGTGATAATCTCTTTCTGACAATGTTTCTTAATCTTTTGATTGAAAGAAAAAATTACATTCTCTGTATTTAATGCTGTTGAGCTAAGCTATCAACTTTGTCATGCTCCTGGAGTCCTCCAAAAGCATAAAGTGCTAAGATATTACTGTATTCTTTACACTTCCAACTTCTGTAAAGTGAACCACAGAACAGGTGGGGTTTGAACCCATGGTGAGTCCCAGTGGTGGCTCGTCCATAGGAGCTGCAGAGCTGCAGTCCCCCCAGATGCTCACTGCCAGCTGTAATCATTTTCTTATTATGTAGTATATCAGTGCCTGGCTACATATACAAACATGCTACTTTCAGATCTCAGCTATTTAGTGCAAGGAGGAAAGAGTCAGTTACAATGAAACTGAGGTCGTGGTTTCCACAAGCTAAAGAGTAACAATATGACAAACAGTTCAGTTTTAAGGTGGAAGCCCAGTTCTCAGTTTTATTACACCTCATGCTGGTTTATGATAACAGCACCTCTCATTCTCCCACTGTCAGTTAAGGAAGCCATCAACACAGAGTTCTTGACTTTCAGAACCAATCTTGACTCGTTCTGTTTAAATAAACCATCTCAGCAACCTCTCCTCTGGCCCATAAATTGTACCTACCATACCAACAACTGTGTCCCTAGAATTGGGTCCTCGTTACCATGGATGAAGGGTTCTCGAGTTACGAGCAAAAGAAAATATAAAGGTTGGAGGAAAAAACTGAAATGTTGGAAGAAAAGAGAATAATGCAACCACTTAAAATTTCCAGGTTACCCTTTGGGGTTACCTAATTATTCAAGATAGAAATGGATACAGTGAATAAATTAAGAGAATAGAAGGATAAAACCTGGGGAGACATGATAATGACATGCAAAATATTCAAATGCCTGAATAGGGTGGACTTGGATAGACTAAGGGGCAAGAAACAGACAGTTGGAAATTGACACAAATGAACCTCAAGGATGTCAAGACATATCTACTTAACCTTAAAATGGTCAGAAAGTGCAATGGCATTTATTTAATAATTCACGACCTCTGCACAAGGACATACTGCAAATTGAGTTTCTTGCTATGCACTTCAAGTACAACAAGTACTCAAGGACCCCATTGGAAATAAGTCACTTTTGACCTTTTTGTGTTATCCTGGGTAATTTACACATATATGTGGGTTATTTGTGTATGTGGAAAATACTGTATATATTTTCCGGAAATACGGTAATTTATAGGTAAACGGATGCCCTATATTGTATTTTTAAAAGAAGTATGTTATCAAAAATGGGAAACCTGCGGCTGGGGAGGTCGGTCGCCATTTTCTTTGAATTTGATTAGAAACGTTGGTGAAATAGGAAGAATTTTTCGTGCTCTAGAGGTTAAAATTGGGCTGATACCTCTCAAATAGGAGACGAAATTGTTGGGTGTGCATTACTGCATAACTTGAGATATCAGGCGACAGGACAGGACAACTCCAGGAATCTCAGATAAGCTGTCTAATTTATGTTTAATTTCTGGCCAGTAAAATTTTCATAGTGTATTATACATATAATACTACATATGATAATTTGTGTAACTGTATTTATATGTACCAGTACCTAAATAAACTTCCGATTGCCTAAAAAAAAAAAAAAGTTGAAATGTCTCCACTACATTTGTAGTGTCGAGCCCAATATCCCACAGGACCCTGGAAATATCTGATGTGACTGTTTCCATTAGGGAATTTAATTCATCTTTCACCCTAAGTCGGGTTGCATGCGACCAACAGTAACAGCCTGGTTGATCAGGCCCTGATCCACCATGAGGCCTGGTCACAGACCGCGGCGCTGGGGCGTTGACCCCCGAAACCCTCTTCAGGTATATTCCAGGATACGTATTGCTAGGCGAACAGCAGGTACGATTAAATTTACCTACATAAGCCTTAGTGTTTTTAACTACATGTCGACAACGCCACCAAAGAACTAAGGTGGTGTAAATTTATTCTGGTATACACAAATCGACCTAACGACAGTGGAGGTCAGGAGAGATAGGGGGGACATGATAATGACATATAAAATACTGAGAGGAATTGACAAGGTGGACAGACAATGTTCAAGAGATGGGACACAGCAACAAGGAGAGACAGTTGGAAGTTGAAGAGACAGATGAATCACAGGGATGTTAGGAAGTATTTCTTCAGTCACAGTAGTCAGGAAGTGTAATAGTTTGGGAAGCGATGTAGTGGAGGCAGGATCCATTCATAGCTTTAAGCAGAGGTATGATGAAACTCGTGGTGCAGGGAGGCGGGGCCAGGAGCTATGACTCAACTCCTGCAACCACAATTAGGTAAGAACTAGGTTGACCACAATTAGGTAAGAACCTGGTTGATCAGGCGCTGATCCACCAGGAGGCCTGGTCACAGACCGGGCCGCGGGGGCGTTGACCCCCGAAACTCTCTCCAGGTAAAGTCCAGGTACAGATTATCATACACAGCAGCATATGTGTAAAGTACCTAGAATAACCCAAAAAAGTCTGACAGAGTGACTTATTTCCACTGGAGTGCCACATTTCATAAAGAATTACAGAACATGGTTTCAGTTAGTTTAATGTTTATTATGCACCCCATACCCATCCTGTGGGCGGTAGTCAAAAGATTATAAAGGTACATAATGGGTCCAGGGACTGGACCCCAAAGTTATGATAGCTGAACAGCAGTAAGGCTGTGGACGTGCATAATGGCAAGTAGACCTGTCACAGATACGATATGTGCCAATGTGCCTACATTTATCAGACATCAACGCACGTTTCATATATCATGGTCTTGAGTATTGCACCATGACAATGGTCCCGGGGCTGAACCTACAAATATGCAAAAATCTGCAAGATACAAGCATTTCAATACTTGTTTCTTACCCCATTTGTAAATAATCTATAATTACATTCATGAGAAAGCGCTAAACACGTAGGGGTTATACTCTGCCTTGGGGTATGAGAGGTATTCACGTTTGATCTAAGGAAAGGAAAAGCCTCTCACCGGAATCAAGGATCTCCCTTGAACACTTCTATATTAATTTTGCTACACCAGAGTGTCTAGTTCATGGTCTAACACGGACCAAAACTTCGTCCCAAGTCTCCTACGTACGGTCCCCACAAGAGAGGTTTCTTGATGCTGGTGAGGGGCTCTTGATCAAGGGAATTGGATCTGTGCTTCTGATCCCTGAATTAAGCCTGAATACCTTCCATCCCCCCCCCCACATGCGCAGTATAATCCTACGGGTTTAGCGCTCCCCATGATAATAATAATTCCTACGAACGGGTTATTTGTATATTGTTTCAGACACGGTATTGTCTTGTTTCTTCTTTTAGTTTTGTTACTCCTATTATCATTGTGATTTCCTACAGGTGTAGGGAATAACCACATCCCTATGAATACATAAATTACTATCATTATACACCACAATACACATCTCCAGATTTATCTAACGTTCAAATATTTCCAACTAGATGAGTTTTTTTAAATATTTGTACTTAATAATAATAATAATAATAATAATAATAATAATAATAATAATAATATCTATTTCCACAAGTACATGTATAAGGTATACAGTCCTAGCTGACATCAATGACATACTACTATATAGAAGTCGCTTGTTATGCAGAGTATTTCCCGCAAATTAGGTCAGTTTTAGTCCCAGGATGCGACCCATACCTGCCCACTTACCCATTATCTGATGGTTAAACACGCCGCCTTACTGATAAATAAGATTACGCCTCGTCACCTGCTCTCCTATAATAATCAGAATATTCTGCTGGATATTCTCAATGCTAACAGATTCCATTACCTCGTGTATAAAATCTATCGTATATAACGGAAAAAACATCCCGCATGTTGGGTAAACATAGTAAGCTTGGCTTAGTTATGTTAAAATAAAGTTTATTGATTAAGACAGACATAATATAGCTTATATTATTATAATTATAATCATGGGGAGCGGTGAACAATACAGATATATAAAAAACAGCGAATGTGATTTTAAAGAATTATTATTATTATTATTATTATTATTATTATTAGGAAGCGTTCAACTCCAATGGTTTATATGGCACCTAGGGAATGGGAGGCAATAATAAAAAATAATAATAATAATTTATTTCTTTGTTAAGGTACAATGCATTTACATATAATTTGATTGGTGCAAGCAAAGCCACTATCATGCAGAGGCATTCGGGAAAAGGAGGGGCAATTATAGTTCCTTGGATCAAGAGCCATTCACCATCATAAAAACATTCTCCTCTAAACTGAAGTTAGAGAAATTGGCAGCTACACTTGCCTGAGAGGTACCAAGGTTGTGCCAAGACTAACAATGGTGGTGGTACTCCTGGCAGCCCCATGCTCAGAGAACATCAAATTATTATTATTATAGTTGTGAAACGTTTAATTCATAATGGTTATACATCGCCTGGGGGATGGTAGGTATGATCAGAGAAACATATGGGTACCTCTAATACCTTGCAACAAGAATGCTTCAAGGTTATCCCTCCCATGATGGTGGGTACCCTTGAACTATTACCACACTCCACCACACATATAAACTCCCTCAATAATACACATCCAGGAACTAGTACACTTTAATCTCAGTACTTAGTATATCAAATACTCAACAAAGAAAAAATTAGAGATAATGAGCCTGCGGCTTATGATACTGTCAAACTCAACACATGATGATCACGTGACGTTCGTAAGTAACTCCGGCAGAGTTCACGAGGAGAAACTCCACAACTGACTAATATTATTGTGAACAATGAACACCGCCACATGTGTGGTACCCTGATCTATATGACACTGTGACAAGAATTATAGCAAGCAAGATTTCAATCATTACTACCCTTCATTAGACAAACTGGAGCCTTGAAGCCAATGAAAGATTATTATAAGAAATTAAAGCTATCTTTCCAATTACTTATTTCCTAGGCACTGTAAATTCCTACAGGTTCTGCAATTTCCCAGATTAATATTAATCCATGACACAGGATCTTGATTGCCCTAGCAACAGCACCGGAATCTTGCCAAGGCGACAGGATCCAAGAGAACCCCCCCCCCACACCTGAATGTTTATGACTTGATTACAAAACCGGTTTTGTACACTTCCCTCCCTCCCCCTCCTCCTTATAGCACCACCTCTTAGGATTACACGTAGCTGTTCTCAAACTGTTCCACACAAAACCGAAATCTCTATTTCGATCCTATGTAAGGCAAGACGAGAGAATATTAGTCTAATTTTCTTTATATCGTTCCTATTCACCAGACGGTAACTATGTACCCCTCTAGTTCTGTTATAATAATCTAAAATAAAATCCTCGTGCGGCTGTCTTGCCTCATTAAAACATTGCGCAGCATACTGGGTGAGTAACAAGGTTTATATTTATATAGCGGCAATAAATGGCACTCCACGTCATGCCTGGGAAATGGTGGGGGTCACTGACCGTCTCATATACTGAAACCTCCTCCCACTAAAATATTACAATTATATTCATGGAGAAGTACTATCTATATTCATGGGGATCATTTAACTGTATTCTTTTCTACTCTGTATCATGTTCAAATAAATAAATAAATAAATAAATAAATAAATATAGGTCCTGGGGAATGGGAGATTTGATCGAGGATACGCGCGTCACTCAAATACCTTAATTATTAAATCAAGAACCCTTAGTAAGTTCATTTGGGTACATATAAATACAGTCACATAAATTATCATACATAGCAGCATGTGTATTATTATTATAATCAAAAAGAATCGCTAAACCAAGCAGCATGTGCAATTACATAGGATAAACCCCCAAAAAAGTCAGTGACCTTATTTCTACTGACGTTATGCCTTAACCGGCATGAAAGCAACGGTTTAAATATCTCGTTACATTTACATTGCAATAATATAATAACAGACATGCATGTATGCATATATATGCTTGAAAAGATTAGTGCACATTAATCTAAGTTGCTCGATTATAAAGAAATAAGCGCTAAACCACAAGGGTCATACAGCGTAGAAGTTGCCCGAAATGCTCTGCATAACCAGTGGCTTTTTATATAGTATGTCAATGACATCAACTACGTCTGTAACATGGTCTTGTAAAAATAAATATTAATTATTACTTATACTTTATTATTTATACTGTCTTGGCAACGGGAATGGAGAAAACGAAAATATAAATGAATAACAATGGGGATGTAATAATAATAATATCTTCATTTACTACATGTACAAGGTATACAAGTACATGTACAAGGTATACAAGTACATGTACAAGGTATACAAGTACATGTACAAGGTATACAAGTACATGTACAAGGTATACAAGTACATGTACATGGTATACAAGTACATGTACAAGGTATACAACATGTACAAGGTATACAAGTACATGTACAAGGTATACAAGTACATGTACAAGGTATACAACATGTACATGGTATACAAGTACATGTACAAGGTATACAAGTACATGTACAAGGTATACAAGTACATGTACAAGGTATACAAGTACAGTAAAGGTATACAAGTACATGTACAAGGTATACAAGTACATGTACAAGGTATACAACATGTACAAGGTATACAGGTACATGTACAAGGTATACAGGTACACATACAAGGTATACAAGTACATGTACAAGGTATACAAGTACATGTACAAGGTATACAAGTACATGTACAAGATTATACAAGTACATGTACAAGGTATACAAGTACATGTACAAGGTATACAAGTACATGTACAAGGTATACAAGTACATGTACAAGGTATACAAGTACATGTACAAGGCATACAAGTACATGTACAAGGTATACAAGTACATGTACAAGGTATACAAGTACATGTACAAGGTATACAGATCATAGCTGACATCAGTGACATACTACTATATATTATTATTATAATCAAAAAGAAGCGCTAAGCCACAAGGGCTATACAGCTACTACTATATAGAAAGTCGCTTTACTCACGAAATCGTAATGGCTCTCTGACCGCGGGTTCAAATCCCGCCCGTGGTATGGTTAGAAAGTCGCTTGTTATGCTGAGCATTTCCCGCAAATTAGGTCAGTTTTCTCCCAGGATGCGACCCACACTAACACCCAGGTACCCATTTTACTGATGGTGAACATAGACAACCGGTGTAAAGAAACACGTCCGATGTTTCCACCCCTTCGCCGGGAATCGAACCCGGACCCTCACCGTGTGAAGCGAGAACTTTTGCCACCAGGCCACGGGGCCCTTGCTTGGCAGCGAGAACTTAAAAAGGAACACTTCATCAGGCCTATTGGCCCATGTGGGACAGGTCCATATCAACCCCCGGCTTAGACCAATGGCCCACCCTGTCAGGTCCAACTCACACCCACTCACATATTTACCTAACCACTATTTCATATATTTCATCACAAAATGAGGTATTACCTGTCCCTAGTGGTGAAGAAAGTGCAGTTAAGGTTGCCTTCATCATGATAGACAGCTCCTCCACCACTGTTACGTCTAACAACAGGTACTCCAGCACTCTCAAGGTACTGAAGGTTGGCCTCCACGTATGGGTTCTGGTGCCTCCCTATCACCACACATGGAGAATTCTGCCATATGAACATCACATTTCGCTTCTCAAATGACCAATTCTTGTAGAGCCAGTCCTCGAAAGCAAGGTTCGAGTAGATGTTTGTAGACTGGGAGATGAAAACTCCCCGATTGAAGGGGATTCTGGATGAGTCTTGAGTGCCAACGTTGGTGGCACACCCAACGATGCCAGTATTAGATAGATTAGTGCCACTACCTAACAGGTTAGTGCCACCAACCACTGCTCTTAGGGGAATGTTAAGGGACATATTCGCAATATTTCGTAGGGACATCATTTTGAATATAGGGATTTGATGACCAAATATACTCAAATATATGCAATGAATATATTATTATTTGATGACCAAATATACTCAAATATATGCAATGAATATATTTTATTGAGACAAATATTCAAATATATGCAATGAATATATTATTATTTGATGACCAAATATACTCAAATATATGCAATGAATATATTATTATTTGATGACCAAATATACTCAAATATATGCAATGAATATATTATTTGATGACCAAATAGGGATTTGATGACTAAATATATGGATTTGATGACCAAATAGGGATTTGATGACTAAATATATGGATTTGATGACCAAATAGGGATTTGATGACTAAATATACTCAGATATATGCAATGAATATATTATTTTGGTAGCTAAATAGGGGACTAATATCAAATATTTCACTATATAACTTGTTCAAAGGAATACAATGAATTAGGTAAAATGGGGTTAAATTTAAATGTGGATTAATTAGTTTTAAGATATATTTCTGGACAAAAATACTGTCCTTAGGAGTTATACAAAATACCTTCAAAAGAATTTTAAATGGGGCTTAATTTGAGAATTTAAGCGGAATTTAGCAGTATTTGGTGACTCAGATAATATTACAACACCGGGGCTAGTTTGATGCTATTGGCTGAGATAATATTAGAGCAGATATAAGTTAGAGTTGTGTTAGAGCCTTGATAACTCTACATTCACTGCCTTCCAGCACTATAAGATGATCGTGTAATTCCTGTGTCATATGAAGCCACTTATATGTCTGGTGGAGCACTCCTAGGCCGTTCCGACGAAGACGCGTCTCGTACGTGTTTTCTCTTTTAACCATTGGATGTGTTGACGCCGTTAATAAGCACAAATAAAAGGCAAGGAGAGAGATAAAGGGGTTGAGAGGGAAGGAGCGTGTATACCACACTCTCTGCAAGACAATACAACACTGAATTAAGTGACAGCTGCTCGACTCACCCAAACTGGGAAAACATATTGTACCACTATTTTCTCATCAATTCTAAATTATAAAAGCTCCATTGCCATTAACTTCATTAAATTAAGGTCATTGCTATAGTCATATGTCCTTTTTAATATATGTTCTACGAGACAGGGTTGAGTATATTGATCAAACGTCAGCCACAACATCTGAAGGTGAGAGGGACGTGCGTCTCAACACGTGCCATAATGACTTTGATTTAACATATAAATGATTCAATGAGCATTTGCTGTAACCTAAATAAACAAAATTATATTTTTTAATATCATGCATACATATATGCTTATATATAATAATGAGCACTTATTTACCGTACATAAGAAACACGCAATCTATACTCCATTTTTCTTGATTATCTCCGGACAGTTCCCATAGCAACTGATGTCTCCGGTATATACCCAATATATTTATTGAGGTGTTAGACATGGGACAGGTAAAAGTCTGAGCTTGCTACCATCTGCAGCTCATAAGATGCCAGCCCACGACCCCTTTGAGCGGGGAGCAGACCTAGACCACTATTTATTCAGTTCTAATATTTATACAAGCTCCATTGCGGTATCCATTAAAATTAAGGGTCAGTAATGGTCAGATGTCCATTTTATATGAGCTAAGTTACAGGTATGATAGATTGGATCAAACTCAGCCAAGTTACAAAGGTGAGAGGAGACGTGGTCCAACACTGCCATAATATGACATTATGATTAAACATATAATATGATTTCAATGAGCCCAGGTTGAGCTGTCAACACTAAATCAAAGGAAAATTAACATTTCCTATTACAATCATGAAAAATACAGATAATGCATAATAATACAGAAGCCGGGCTTAGCTTTCACCCGTGAGGCGGAAGGGCAGGCTGGACACTGGTCCAAGATGAGGGCGTACTTGTACTCCTCTCCATGGGAGACTTAAGTCTCGAGACACTCCGATAGGAGCCAGTTGCCGGTCAACATACTGGAATAGACCCGGGCCGGTAGAATACCGCAATAAAAAAAAAAAATGGGACAGGTGTCCACCTGACGGTCCCAATTCGGGATACTTGTTCCCATTTACATTCCCATGGTTGAACATTTACCTGGAGAGAGTTCCGGGGGTCAACGCCCCCGCGGCCCGGTCTGTGACCAGGCCTCCTGGTGGATCAGAGCCTGATCAACCAGGCTGTTACTGCTGGCTGCACGCAAACCAACGTACAAGCCACAGCCCTGCTGATCAGGAACCGACTTTCGGTGCTTGTCCAGTGCCAGCTTGAAGACTGCCAGGGGTCTGTTGGTAATCCCCCTTATGTATGCTGGGAGGCAGTTGAACAGTCTCGGGCCCCTGACATTGTTCCTTTCCCAAGTACAGGTCAGATCAGGGGAATATTTCCCATCTGAAAGTCCCTTAGGGTAATACCTAAATTTGAAGGGGTCTTGATATTAGGAATTAAAGAACCACCTTTCCTGTCCTCGTAAATAAGGGAGCACAGATCCAATTCCTTGTATCAAGAGCCCTCACCGGGAAGAAAAAACTTCCCTTGAGGGATACAAAACACTGACTTTCTTGGGCTATCCTACCTAATTTATACTATGATAATTGTACCTACGTGTACCTGTACCTAAATAAACTAACATCTCAGGCTACAGTGGACAGCACTTAACTGAAAGATTATAATTTGCTAGCACTAAACCAGTAGGGGTCATATTGAACCTGAGAAAATCTAAGGAAAATCTACCTTTGACAAGAAACAATTCTGCCTAAATGTATATACAAGATTTAATCACAGTCACTGTGTAGTTTGTCAAGGTTAAATGTTATGAACTGACCTTAAAATGAAGCTAATGTTAAGACCTTGGCACAAGCACCCCAATGGAAATCAAGGAACCCAGTGGATCCAAAGGATCCCAATGTAAATCAAGGAACCCAGTGGATCCAAAGGATCCCAATGGAAATCAAGGAACCCAGTGGATCCAAAGGATCCCAATGGAAATCAAGGAACCCAGTGGATCCAAAGAATCCCAATGGAAATCAAGGAACCCAGTGGATCCAAAGGACCCCAATGGAAATCAAGGAACCCAGTGGATCCAAAGGATCCCAATGGAAATCAAGGAACCCAGTGGATCCAAAGGATCCCAATGGAAATCAAGGAACCCAGTGGATCCAAAGGATCCCAATGGAAATCAAGGAACCCAGTGGATCCAAAGGATCCCAATGGAAATCAAGGAACCCAGTGGATCCAAAGGATCCCAATGGAAATCAAGGAACCCAGTGGATCCAAAGGATCCCAATGGAAATCAAGGAACCCAGTGGATCCAAAGGATCCCAATGGAAATCAAGGAACCCAGTGGATCAAAGGATCCACAATGGAAATCAAGGAACCCAGTGGATCCAAAGGATCCCAATGGAAATCAAGGAACTCCAGTGGATCCAAAAGGATCCCAATGGAAATCAAGGAACCCAGTGGATCCAAGGATCCCAATGGAATCAAGGAACCCAGTGGATCCAAAGGATCCCAGTGGAAATCAAGGAACCCAGTGGATACAAAGACCTTGGCAGGAGCATCCCAATGGAAATCAAGGAACCCAGTGGATACAAAGGATCCAAATGGAAATCAGGAATCCCAATGGAAATCAAGAACCCCAGTGGATATAAAGGATCCAAATGGAAATCAGGAATCCCAGTGGAAATCAAAGAACCCAGTGGATCCAAAGGATCCCAATGGAAATCAAGGAACCCAGTGGATACAAAGACCTTGGCAGAAGCATCCCAATGGAAATCAAGGAACCCAGTAGATACAAAGACCTTGGCAGAAGCATCCCAATGGAAATCAAGGAACCCAGTGGATCCAAAGGATACCAATGGAAATCAGGAATCCCAATGGAAATCAAGGAACCCAGTGGATCCAAAGGATACCAATGGAAATCAAGGAACCAAGTGGATACAAAGGATCTAAATGAAAATCAGGAATCCCAGTGGAAATAAGTAGCTGGTTTTTATGGGGGTTTATCCTTAGGTTATTTACACGTATTAAAATATGGTTAACAACTCGCAATTTACAAATATTACCTCCCAGGTCACAGCAGGATTCGAACCTGCAACACGTTCTGCATCTGGAGTCCGACTGTGTAGATAAAGTACTACATAGTTTGTGCAGGTTCGAATCCTGCCGTGGACCGAGAGATAATGTTAAACTCTGTATGATAATTGTACATATATGTACCTGTACGTAAATAATCTTACTTGAGATAATGTTAGTCTGGTGGGTGATGACAGTAGTAACGTTCTTAAGTACCCCTCAAGGAAGGTTCCTTGATGTTGGTGAGGGGCTCTTGATTTAGGGAATTGGATCTGTGCTCCAGTTCCTCGAATTAAGCCTGAATGCCTTCCACCCCCCCAGGCGCTGTATAATCCTCCGGGTTTAGCGCTTCCCCCTTGATTATAATAATAACAATCATGATTAAGATTCTCTAGGAAACAAGAACAGTTTCCTGAGGCGGGTCTTAGGCACATGATGATCCGCCACTGGAGCTTTTGGTCATATAACCGAGGCCTTCCGCTGGCTTCCCAGTTCACAGCCTATAAAAATAAAGGTAAGTAAGTTTATTCAGATATAGACAGTTACATTAATTATCATACAAAGCATCATAAGTGTAAACAGCCCTCCAGGATAACCCACAGTAGTCAGAGTGACTTATTACTTGTGATAATTATTTATATTTAACCTGGAGTTTACCTGGAGAGAGTTCCGGGGTCAACGCCCCCGCGGCCCGGTCTGTGACCAGGCCTCCTGGTGGATCAGAGCCTGATCAACCAGGCTGTTACTGCTGGCTGCACGCAAACCAGCGTACGAGCCACAGCCCGGCTGGTCAGGAACTTGTCCAGTGCCAGCTTGAAGACTGCCAGGGGTCTGTTGGTAATCCCCCTTATGTGTGCTGGGAGGCAGTTGAACAGTCTCGGGCCCCTGACACTTATTGTATGGTCTCTTAACGTGCTAGTGACACCCCTGCTTTTCATTGGGGGGATGTTGCATCGTCTGCCAAGTCTTTTGCTTTCGCAGTGAGTGATTTTCGTGTGCAAGTTCGGTACTAGTCCCTCTAGGATTTTCCAGGTGTATATAATCATGTATCTCTCC